TGAAGGAAGCAGTGAGAAGTGAGAAGTGTGAAATGTGGAGTGTGAAGTGTGAAGTGTGAAGTTTGGAGTGTGAAGGAAGCAGTGAGAAGTGAGAAGTGTGAAATGTGGAGTGTGAAGTGTGAAGTGTGAAGTGCGAAGTGAGAAGTGAGAAGTGTGGACTGTGAAGTGTGAAGTGTGAAGTGTGGACTGTGAAGTGTGGAGTGAGAAGTGTGGACTGTGAAGTGTGAAGTGTGCAGTGTGAAGTGTGAAGTGTGAGGTTTGGAGTGTGAAGGAAGCAGTGAGAAGTGAGAAGTGTGGAGTGTGAAGTTTGAAGTTTGGAGTGCGAAGAGTGCAGTGTGCAGTGTGAGGTGTGGAGTGTCGAGGGAAGGACACGGTCGGGACAGGGTATCTTTGAACTATAGGTCATTTATGTTTGGGAAACTTCCGCCGCCGGCTTGCCCGGGTCTATGTTATTATATACATATATCATATATTGTATACATATTATATACATCTATAGCATTAGATACAGATATGTATAACCATCAACATGGTTTCATTCAACCAATATCGATATACATTTATGGATCTAGGATGATCTAGGTTTTCTTGACCAATCATTTCATGCGGACATGTTGTAGGAATGTTTCATGGTACATATGATTCTACAACCATCATTTTTTTGGATTTAAGCTGCAGACACGCTATATAAAAAAGTCGGGTAGATTCACAAAAAAAAAATCACCATGAAATGTAGTAAGATCATTTTCCGAGCAGGAAGAGACACGGATTTCCGTATCTTGATTTAGGAGAGGATATCCTAATCTATTTCCTGAATTGAGGATTTGGCTTTAAGCACCATTTTTTCCTGACATTTTCCAATGAAGCAGTCCATTTTGAAATGGGTCGATATACCAGTCTAAACCCCGGAATTATAACTTACTTATATGTCAACCATATATTCGAATCATCATTGTCCGAATTTCCTATATTTCAACCATAAATTGAGGCACATTTAACGGTCTGCCACGGATTTTGGGGGTACCCAATTCCGATCGAAAAACCGATGGGGCCTTTGCTTCAGACACACGGACACGCCCGCAAAGATGTTGTTGATAAATACACTTCAGTGAAAAATTATGTCATGTGGATTCAATGTGTACACGAAGGACTATGACACTGTAGCTGGTTGGTGGTTTGGAACATGAATTTTATTGTTCCATAGATTGGGAAGTTCATAATCCCAACTGACGAACTCATATTTTTCAGGGGTAGGTCAACCACCAACCAGATTATTATTAACCATCATGAAGTATATAATAATCATATATTAACCATTATTAACAGTATATTAACATTATATTGACCATCATGAGAATTTCACCGGACTGTGTTTGCCAACTGCTACAGATATATAAATTTATGAAATCCTGAAATCTACAAGACACGGTAGCGTGTCTGAACATGCAAGGTGGTGCCCCCCAAGTTATGTTTGTTGGTTTATAATCCCATGAAAACTATAGATATATCACCTACAAAAACCATAGTTATTGGAGTTATAAACCAACTGAGCGTTCTCGAACGGGGGCACCACCTTGTGGGATATACCCGCCGTGGAATTGTCGGAACCTCACAGTGATACTGATGATCAACCAGTCAATTTATATGGTTAGACACATCCAGATTAGACATGTTACTACTACTATATGCAGATCTGTTTGGAGACGGCCATGTTTGGTGTTCCGCATTCTCATTTTGGAACATCGATTTCAGCAATAGAAAAAAGTCGCTGGAATTCTTAGAATATCCAGCATCAAGCTGCAGGAATCAGAGTTCTTGGAGTCGGGAATTCAGATCCTAGTTGCTTGGCTCAATGATTTGGACGTTGGAGGGGGTATATTACTGTAATTTACTGGTTGGTGGTTTGGAACATGTTTTATTTTCCATCATATATGGGATAACCCTTCCCATTGACTTTCATATTTTTCAAGATGGTTGTTTTACCACCAACCAGTTTACATCTGCAGGTCCTAGTACAGGTGGGAGTTCGAACTAACTTTGTTTTGGTGCTTTGGTAGTTTTGTCCACCTGTCACTTGAGGAAACTTGAGGATGCAGGGAAGTATGGTATGCTCCATTCAAATTCAGCCCTGAATTGAAATGGCTGTGCACCCGAAAATGACCATTGTATGCTCCATGGCAAAAAGGGAAACACCAACGATTCACCAGTCAATGTTCCAGGTTATCATAGGTGATCCGATTTTCAGGCAGCCCTTTTTTGAAGATCTCCCATTGGTGTCCCTACATTCAAAGATTAAGGGTTACTGTGCCCAAAGCAGGCCAAGGCCTGTCATGGGGGTGATGAAAACTCTGAATCCTTGATGGGGACCCTCACGACTTTGCAAGAATATTCCAAGTCTTTTCCAAAACTTCGGTGATTGACATCTTTGGGGAACCATGGCGAAATTCAATTGATCAACAGCATTTAACACCTATGAAAATTGCATTCAATTGCCGGCCCCATATTTCCATCCATTTCCACATTTCTCCCAGCCCCCGCTGACCATTTCTTGGGTGCAGCCCCAGGTATACAGCTGCCAGCCCTACGCACAATGCGGTGGACATGGAGATCGGCTGAACGGCATCATCACGGTGTTTCTCCTTGCGGTGTCATGGCAGAAACGACCATGGCTGTCATGGTTCTTACAAGAAGGGAGCCCCCGTATAGTTTATAGATGTTTATAGATATTTATAGATGTTTATAGATATTTATAGATGTATAGGATATAACCTATAAATATCTATAAACACCATGTCTATATAACATCTATATCTAGGATAGTTTATACAAACACCATAAAATACCAAAAATATCTAGGATAGTTTATAGGTAGACTAACTAGGATCTAGGATTTTTGGATATTTTTGGTGGATATCTTGATAGTAAACAGAGCAACTTCTACCTGGAGCGGCCTGTACCATCCCTGGATGGTGGAGAGTGAGAGACCACGGCGGCATGTGACAGACCTGTTCTTTTCCAAGTTGAACCCCCCAGACAACTTAATTCTATATCAGCACTAATGATTTGCCGTATAGTACGTATATATATATATATAATTATATATATATAATTATATATATTTAATTATATATATACACATACAAACACACACACATATATATATATATACACTGTATATTATATGTGCATCTGTCAGATGGTTCTATACTAATACGAGTTATACCACTAAGCAACCCAAAGATGCCAAGTACTGTGATATTTGTCGACTGTACCATTCAGCCCTGCCAGGGGAGCCCTTTCCTTATCAATTGATGTCTGAGATGTTGTTCAATCAGGAAGGCAGTAAGTAGCTTCGTGGAAAGTTGACTTGTTGAATATGACTGTTTATACTGTCTATATTTGATCATGTTTATGCTCCAATATCTACTACACACACAATTACTACCCCTCTATATATATATATTATGCTATATATATATATGTATACATATTACTATTGTGTGTATATATATATATATTACTCAGATAGACCAGGAGATAGAATATTAAAAATGTTTAGCTCACAGATAGAATATGAAAAAAAAACCTAAGGTAGCTAGGACCCCAAACAGCAGATAGAATATGCAAACAACATATGCAGATAGAATATCAAACATATGATATATGTGCAATGTTGCATGTGTATGCAGTACAGTACTGCACTGCCTGCAGCCCTATTCTAAGTACCATATTCTAAGTGGCCATATTCTAAGTGCATGGGCCCATATTCTAAGTGCATGGGCCATATTCTAAGTGCATGGGCCCATATTCTAAGACCAAGGTTCTCGGCCTAGCTCTGAAAACCATATTCCCCGAAGAGCGGCTTAGCTCAGCTAAGCAAATCTTAAGGTTTTATATTCTAAGTGCTGGTCCGTCATTGTATGCTATATATATATATATATATATATATGTATACATATTACTATTGTATATATATATATACATGTGTTACACTATATATTATATCTTATATCTTATGCTATATTATATTATTTTGTATTGTATTTATATTTACATTTGTATTTTGTGTGTGTATTTGTATTGTATTATACTATGTTATATTGTATTGTATTGTCTTGTATGTATATGTGTATTTGCATTTGTATTTGTATTGTATTGTGTTGTATTATATTATATTATATTATATTATTGTATTATTTTGTATTGTATTGTACTCGTATGTATATTTGCATTTGCAGTTGTATTTGTATTTGTATTGTATTGCGTTGTATTATATTATATTATATTATATTGTATTGTAATGTATTGTATTGTATTGTATGTATATGTGTATGTGTCTTTGCATTTCTATGTGCATTTGTATTTGTATTGTGTTGTATTATATTAGCTTAGTTTATCTTATGTTATATCATATTATATCTTATATTATATCTTATATTGTATATATATTATATTGTATAATACTATATTTTACTATATTATATTATATCATTTCATATTATATCATATCATATTATATCATATCATATCATATTATATTATATTTTCTTATGTTATATATTATATTATATTAAATTATATAATAATATTATTATATTATATTTTATTATATTATATTATATTATACTATAGTTTATTGTATTACATTATCTTATATTAAATTAAATTATATTATATCATATCATATTATATTAAATTATATTATAATAATATTATATTATAATAATATTATATTATATTATACTATATTATATTATACTATAGTTTATTGTATTATACTATATTATATTATATCATTATATATTTTATTATATCATATTATATTATATTATATTTTATATTATATTATATTAAATTATTTATATTTTATATTATATTATATTATATATGTTGTGTGGAAAAAAACATTTCTCTTCATCCCAGCTGACCCCCAGACCTAGGTCCTGACCAACCGCATCTTTCTTATCGACTCGGAGAGTCCGTTGCCGTTGCAACTCCTCTTAGAGCCCCGAGGGATCGACTGGCGCGTCGCGAAGCCCAAGGGGCCAAGGGGTGGGGCTGTAGAGCCCAGAAGAATGGGTGATTTTCGAGCCAGACATATTGGAATTCATATGAATCTCATATGATGTATATAATTTATAGCTAAGTTGGTTGAACTTTTTGTAGCTTAAGTGTTGGGTTTATAGTAGACATGTAGACATACATATTAATCATATTATACTGGTTGGTGGTTTGGAACAGTATATATTTTCCATATATTGGGAATAATCATCCCAACTGATTTTCATGTTTTTCAGAGGGGTTGAAACCACCAACCAGCATATATATATATATTATAATTAAATATTTATATACATGGGGATTATGAACCAGCTTGTAACTGGGGGGTGCCACATTGGATGGACGAAATTTAATTACACACGAGTTGAAACTGGGGTCGTGTTTTTTTCGGGAGTTTACAACCAGAAATAGATTGAACTGGGATGAAAACAACAAACATATGGAGAATATGGAGAATATGGAGATTTGAAATGCCGTAACTACATGAAACTACTCGAAATGGATTGAACGCAGATGAAAATTTGGTCACAAGACAACTATATGGAGCAATCTGAAACATTGGAACGTGATCAATGGTCGTCTCCTGGTACTGAAACTGGGTCAAAGATGTAGAGGTGGGTGAACTACAACTTCAAGTCTTCGAGAAGCAAAGAAAAAGAGCAACTTCAGATGGCGCTTGAAACCAGAATTCCTTGGGAATTTGGATCTGCCGCTTTATCCAGAAAAAATGCAACACCTTAGCAGGTAGTACCTGACCTGTGTGGGGGATCGCGGGGGTATTTGCGCTGCTGGTCCCAGTGTCTTGGGTTCAACTGGTCGTTCTCGACCCAAATTGGCTTCCAGCTGACCAAGGTGACGAATCTTCATCGGTTTCTGAAGTCATGGGGGATCCCCAAGTCACCATGAATTTCAATACGAAGTCATGGTCATCCATGACGACTGGATGATGATTTGGGGTACCATGACTTTGGAAACCACAAAAAATCTATCCTATTTCTGGTTGGTGGTTTCATTTTTTTTATTTGTCCATAATATATGGGATAATCCTTCCCATTGACTAATATTTTTCAACATGGTTAAAACCACCAACCAGATACTAGTTGTTTACTTAGTGAGGCGATGCTTGTCCAGATCATGTGAGCAGTGCTCAAAAGCCTTTCTGGTTGATACCGGGGGTGTTACTAGCGAATCTATTGGGGACCAGCATCCGTTCTGGGAATCCAGGATCATCAAACCACGCTGGTTTCCAAAACTGGAACCAAGAAAGATGTATATATATATATTATATATATATATATATATTATATATAATATATATATATATTATATATTTTTTTTTCCACATGGCACAACGAAGCGTGAACTGCAGCCAGGCATGGAAATTCTGTCTCTTGCAGGCTAAGGAGCAAAATCGGGACCTGCACAGTGCCCAAACTCGCGCACGGTCATGCGTCGGGCATGTCCCTGAAATTCACTGCTAACCTCAAAAGAATCATCAACAGGATGCCCCTGCAGAGATTTAAAGAATCCCCCAGCTAAACCTGCACACAGAGCTGGGGGGTATTCTTTCAAGAAACTAGTGGCCCAAAAGCCATCACTTGTGAGCCCTATTGCCGTCTGGTGCGGCACATCCTTGGCTATTTGCCAAGAGCGCAGCTCCCTCAGCATCTCAGGCGCATTCAGCAACAGCAGGCCAGTAGGTTTCATGCTCGGAGCCCCCCACAGCCCTTGCGAGAGGGTCAAAAAGGCAAATTCCGGCCATGTCATGAGGTAAATGATGATGGGTAAACGCCAAATTGACGCTTTCGTGGGATCTTCTGGTGGGGCAGGATGTTCCAAGCAACCAATGCCCCCTGCATATGCCAGCATGATCAGGAGCTCCACAGTGAACAACAGAAGCAAATTGCCGGTGTCAAGCTGCTGGAGCTCTTTGATCGCCAGAGCCGCCCGTCCCCACAAGGTCAAAAGGTCTCGTAGAACACGCGGTGCAGCTCGTTGAGGTCGATCAGCTGGGGCAGGCACACACTTGCCCCTCGCCTGCGACCAAGTCTCGCAGGGAGGGCCTGCTAAGGCCCCAATGACGAAGCGATCGCGCACCGCCGTGAGCCAGAAGGAGCGCACAGTGGGTTGAGCAATATCTCCCCAAACGGGGTCCGTCATGAGATCAACCGATATGGTATGAATGGTCGTCGCATCATGCTGGGACTGCATCTGGTCAAGGAAGTATTGGAAATCTCCCGGGCGGCGCCTTCCCGAAAACGCATGAATGATGTATCGCTCACGCAACATCGGTCGCGGTGCTGGCCAAAAAGGAGCTCGCACTGAGCCCGACTCAGCCGCCTCATTGCAGGCCTGATCAATCACTTCCTGACCAATGGGGCGCTCTGCCGCACGGCTGTGCGCGCAGGAGTCGTGGAGGAAATCCCATTTATCAGACGTCAAGAGCTCTCGCAGCACGGTCTTGATGTCCTTGTGCATGATCGCAAGCGCCTGAATGTCCTCAATGGTGAGCTCGCCAATCAAGTAGTGCAGGGAGGCCCGACACGTCTGCCATGTGACAGGATACGCGTAGACAACCTCCTTGATAATTTCTGTGACATCAGACCGCTCCTCACGCTCGAGTAGCGCCAAATAGATCTTCTCCGCAAGGTCAAGGTCATAGTCAGGGATGTCTTCAAGGCGGCCATCAGGGAGTTGAGGCCCTGCTGCTTGGAGAGGTGGAAGGACATCTTGCTGCTGGTGCAATTGGAAGTCCACGTTCGACCCACTGCCCTGTGCAGGAATAAAATATCTGCGTCTCCCCCATAGGCGATGGCGACAATGTCCCGCCCGTTGTAGATGCGCCTTGAGCTTCGCCATGGTGTGATATTCACGAAGGCATGAACTGCATTGCGTCTGATCACAAAGGAGTCTGACTTTCGCAACTAAGTGGTGCACCTTGAACATGTGAGCGCCTAATCCAGCCTTGCTCTTGAAAACCATCCTACAACACATGCATGCTTGTGGAAAATCTTCCTCTCCCTTCTCCCATGCTGGTGTGGCTCCAATGTCCTCAAAGACTTCCTGCGTGGCTGGGTGCTCTCTGAAAAGACAAATGAAACGTCGATGAAAGCCCAAGACCCTTTGTTGATTGCGCCGCTGAAAACAAGCATGTAAACCCGCTCTTCTCACAAGCCGTTTCCAGTAGGATGTATGATGTTGCCAAATCGAGGTCCATGGAGCTAGATCTAACAACGGATCAGGGAGCCGACATGTCTCGCGGAGTTGCGACCACATCCACGATAAATCATCTTGGATCAACGTCGTCCAAGCCTCGTCAGCATTGAGAAGCCCCCAAGGTACAAGATCTTGGCATCGATAAAGAGTCCCAATGTAACGCAATCTCGCCATGCGCAGCACTTCTGTGGGACTATTGAGCCCTGTCTCTGTGAGAATGTCTTCATCCTGGAGGTGTTGATTGTAGGACCCTGGCATGAGTCTTCGAAAGAGACGCATCAAGGCATTGTGGACATAGGTCTTGGTCTGTCGCTCCGACAAAATCCATGACTCCGTGCCAAAGCTGAACTTACTCAGGATGAGCGTACTGAAAAGTTCCGTTCGTCGCCTCATACTCAATGCTGGGTTCGAAAACAAAAGGCGTCTGTGTTGGTTGAAGGCCTGTTGTGCGATACCAACACGTCTTCTTGCCTCTCGTCTGTTGTCAGGTCGATGGTGAACCAAACAGCCCAGATGGCTATACTGATTGACAACTCGAATCTTCTTCGCTCCCATCTCGCCCATCAAAAGGAGTGTGTGGTCGGAGTTGGGGCCAAAGTAACGAACTCTCATCTTCCGTGCTCCTTTGCCTTGACATACCAAAAGAACTTCTGACTTCCCTGGTTGTAAATTGGGTGTGAGCCCATGCGATTCACATAGTCCCGGCCAGCAGGATGCCTGTGGCCTGCATGATCTTGCGTTCAAGGCGTTCATGACAAGGATCTGAAACGCACACGCATGTGTCATCCATCCAAGTCGGTCCGAGGAAAGCTTGTTGAGGAAGTGCAGGAGACGCTGGTGTAGAGGGCAATCTGAGTCCTTCCTCCGCATTGACGTGTTCTCCAAGTCCAAGACCAAATAAGTGGGCTTGAAGGCGATGTAAAATACGCCCCCAAAGATAGGAGAAGATCACGTCCGCAAAACTGTCGCCCGGTCTCGACCCCAACACGGTCCGACATGTGTCGGTCTGACCTCTGATGTGGAAGTGCGTGTCCTCATGAAGCGCACGAATCGTGTTTTGCATGTGCGCGGGCAATCCAGCAGCTGCAGTCGCTGGCGTTTCCTCAAGGTGTTGGTGCAGCTCCTGTAATAGGTCTTCAGAAAGCCCGAGTCTTGCCCCTACATAGAGGATGAGAGAGTCATCAACCTCACCACCAATGACAAGCGGTCGCAATATTCTGTAGAACGCTTCCGTCAAGTCGAGGTAGAGCATTGCCACATTGTGTCCAAGGGACGTTCTCGATCTCAAGAAAGCTCTGCCCAAATGGACACCCATGGATACTGGCACCCTAGGGCGCCCTCCAAGCTGCTCCTTCTGCAGGAACTTGGTGAAAAGGGTGTTTTGTCGTTGCCTGATGCTCCGATGTAGGCATTTCCCTACGTGGCTGGATATCAGAATACTTCGGTACGAAGTGCAAAGGTCCTTCGGACCCTTCATTTTCCACACAGGGTGTAGCACACCACCCTTATGCACCAAAGATTCTTGACCGTGTGTGGTCAGCTTCAATAGTTGCCCAAAAGTCTTCCGAGCCAGGAGTTGTGGGGCGGCTTTGCAAAAGGCTGGGTGCACACCATCGGGACCCACCGCCTTTGTGGGCTGCACACGTCTGTAAGCTGCCTCCAAATCAACCAGTCTGGGTAGCTCTTGTCCATCAATATTGAAGGCCTTCTGCCGAAACGCTGCCAAGTTCTCGATCCATTGATCTCGTTGACATTCCAATGACATGCGTGTGCCGCCCTCCATCTGCCTGAAAAACTCTGACCATGTCTCAATGGCTTCATTGGGCAAAGTACAATGCTGGCCCTCCGCATTCTTGATGTATGGGAGATTGCCAACCTTCAATTTTTTCAGGTTGGATGGCCCAATGAAAGGACGGAGCTCCTGTAGGATTTGACCTGCAGAAACATTCGGAGACAAAGATGCAAACTTCTCCTGCACAAGCTGTCGCTTGGATTTTTTGAGGCCGTTCCTGAGCTCGTGGGTGGCCTTGTGATAGGCCGCAACCAAGCGCAAATTGCTGCAACGCAATGTTGTGCCATAGGACCAAAAGCGGTCAGACTTCTGGAATTCAGTCCCATGTCTCGCTTTTGCCCAGGCCTCAAAGAAGACCACAAGTCTTTCGTCACGTTGTCGATGTGCAAGTTGTCGGAGTTGACCTTTGAGCTTGATCTTCTGACTTCTGAGATTCCAAAGGTGCTCATTCACATAGGGCTTCTTTGCACGGTTTTTCTGTCTCGGGCAGAGGCGATGAAGACCATGCAGTACTTGTTGATTGAAATGCTCAACATGTTGCTCAATGTTTTCGTTCCATGCTGCAGGCTCATAATCATGCAAAATCTCTTCAGCAATCTTCAGGTTGATCATGGTGTGGTCAAATACCTGTGTCTGCATCTTGCGGGTTGCATCCACAGAGACTGAGATACACCAGTCTAAGTCAATTGCTGTCGCCTCATGATCCCATCCACCATGTCCAAGATCAAACTCAGGGACGACTCTGGAAAGCGTGCATGCAGCCTGCAAATCTTCAGAAAGAAGAACATAATCAATGCAGTGGGATTGCATGCCCGTTGGTTCAGTCCATGTGTCGATGGGACCTTGATGGCAGCCTGCTGTACAAGGAAAACAGAGTCCATGTTCAGTTGTGAATCTTCTGAGCAAAGGCGTGCTACTGGAAGTTGGCAAATCATCTCGATATACTGAAAGGCCGTCTCCTGTCCCTGGTGAAGCATTCGCATCAATCATGACTAAGAGCGGTTCATGTGAGCTCCGGCGCCGCACAATGTCGTCAAGGTGCATCCACCATTCCTCGCGCTCTCGCCATGACAAACCACTGTGGGGTGCATATGCAACTAAAAGCCATGCATTCCAGATCGTCGTGTCAACTCTGACGAGCAATGCACGTGCATCTTTGTATGCGATCTGGAAGTCATTCTTCTCAAAGTACATGGGCCTCTTGTCTATGTAGGCATATGGCTGTGCAAGATTGATCCAAAGTTCAACACCTTGTTGGTGTTGATTGCTGCCAGATGCTAGTCTGTAGATCTGGTCAACGCAGGAGCATATCTCTTGTGCTTTCGTCTCTTGCATGCCAATGAAGTTGAACTTGAGGTCTCTTTGTTGCTTGCGCAAGTAGTCAATCTTGCCTGCATGTCCATGTGGAGCTGCGCCAAGGGAATTCACATTGGCCGTGCAAACACTCACCCGCAAATTGACAGTGCGCTGCTTGTGTCGAGCTGTGTTGAATGTACACACGCTCTTCTTGGCTGGGGGCAGTTGTGGTGCAGGAGCATGAAGACCACGACCACTGAATTTTGGGAGGTCTCTGTGATCCCCTATGGCAATCCACAAATGACCAAAGGCCTTTCTCCATTTTCGCATGTCCAAACGAGGACGTTTGGCATAGAAGCTCTTGGATCTCTCCATTTTCGCAAGCCAATCACATAGTTCATTCCATGGTTCGCCCGCGTGGCCAGCCACATGAGAGTATGCATAGCCTTTGGGACCTAGCGCCGCCTCAACCGCCTGATAGACACCACGAAGAACTTCGAAGGTCTCATCGGCATTGCCCGTGCCTAGATGGCCAGAAGCTTGACCAAGTGCAACACTGGAATCAGATCTGAAGCAGGTGTGGATATTCCAATTCTGACTGAGCCGCCAGATTCCTGCCCATACAAGTCCCTCTTTTTCGGCAACATCTGCGCCGATGCGGGTGGCTCGAAGGTGAGCATGGCTCGCGGTATCATAGTGGATCCCATGAGCACTCCATCCGAGCAATTTCAATCCAGGCGGATCATATCTTTCTCCAAGTACCACCATGGCCCAAGTGTCCCCAGTGCCTTCTTCTTCCGCTCTGAGAGGTGGTTGGTGCTTGGATTGTCCCAGCGATGAACCATCTGTATAGATCAGAAGTCGGTTCAATTCTTCATCAGGGATGTCTTGGGCACAGCTATCAACGGCCTGTTGAAGAGGTTCTGGTAGTTCAAGACCTTCAAAATTCTGGAAAAGAACATCATCATGTGAACAGAAGAGGTCCAGCAGATCGGCCTCATCAATGCCAATGTCAATGATGTGCTCACTTTCAATGGACTTCTCCGGAATGAAAAAAGGTTTTCGTCCGATTGGTCCAAACTGCATGGGAGGCCAAGTTGGAACTCCAGCTCGATGTTTTTGTGGCTGTTGCATGACAACTTTTTGGTCTTCAAAGCAGATCTTGTAGATCTGTTGGTAGATCTCATCATGAGATCTGATCAATGCCCTCCAAAAACCAAGTTGGTGTAGATGTGCAATGAGATCATGCTCTGTCATGAGTTGCTGTGACGTGTGCAGGAAGACCGCATTCTCATCCTCAATGTCCAGGTTGACCAGGACATAATGATGTCCATTTGCACTGTCTGTGTCAAAGCATGCAACTCGGCCTCGTTCTCTGCAAACTACAGCTCGTCCTTGTATGCCCCATGTTGCAAGCTCCTGATGTATCATCTGGTTGTCTGCGTTTGCGGGCAGTTCAATGTAATCTGGGTGTGGGCTCATCGGCTTCGCCCAAAGCACTTGCAGGGCTTCTGTGTCTTGATCAGCTGACACTGGCGTGGCTGGCAAACTGAGGAGTTCTTCAAGCTGAAGCACTTTCCTCTGCACACTACGTTGCAGAAGGTTGAGTCCAGTTGAGCTAGAAGAGGAACTCGAAGCACCAGCGGTTGCCAGTCTCGTGATGATGTCACGCATGTGGTTGAGTATGATCAAAAAGCTGTGGCCATGCTGCGTAAAGAAAACCTCCTCATTCTGGATGTCATGCTCACCATGCGAAATCATGCAATCAATGAGGCTTGGCACCATTCGATCATGTCGGTAACCAATGAGGTCATAGAAGATGAGCTTGGTGATCTGTCTGGGCGCGATGGTTACAAGCATACGCAAAGGCATCGCCCTGTTCTCTGTGTCAACGACCGTGAGATGGATGCTACAAAACCCTGCACGTGGGTGTTGTACAATGAGAATGTGTGGAACTGCGAGGGAGCTAGAGGCACTCGCTCTCGGTGTTGGCCTGATCAAGTAGAAGTCGATGACTGCGTCTGGATCGATCCAATCATCCCACGCTTCCGCAAGTCGATCTGGCCAGTTCCATGCATCTCCAAGTAGTCTTACGGCACGCATTGTGTGACATTGTGGTGCCCTCTCATGGTCAGTGTACCATGTGTTCACATACAAGACTCTTCCTTCTTCCTCTGTTTCTCTCTCCGCATAAGAATCCCACAGTGACTGCAAAGAGTGGAGAAAATGGACCATTTCCCCAAAGATGAGCTCGGGCCTGCCAACTTCTGGCGCAGGTAGAGTCTCCATGGTGAGGACTGCAGGGTCTCTTTGATTTTCCTCTCCAACTTTGCATTCATGAATTGCACAGGGACTGGGTCTGCGGAGGAAGTCTGGCCACGCTTCATGACTGGGTCTGTGCTGTCCGGAAAGCTGTAACATGTTCATGACTTCCCTGTCATAGTCCAGATCCGCAATGCGAGGCACATAGTTAAACGTGTCAATGATGGGCATGTCAGCAACGTTGATGCCATTCTCCTGAGCTTCAAGATAGGCAGGGATTGCTGATGCTGTGTATCCTCTTCTCATGCATTGTGCTACTTCTCTGGTGTAGTATTGCCGTAGTGCTCCACGTGCCGGTGGTACTGCAATTTTGATGTAATCCCCATGCCGCAAGTCAATCAGAGCCCGTTGTTGCGCTCCCACCAGATGCTTGTTGTGCCAAACAAAGCAAACATGACGTGCATATTGACAATATGGCTGCAGTCCAAGTAGAGCAAGCAAAGCTTTCCTCGCAATGGTTTGGGCAAAAGCTTGACTCTGCGTACACTTTCGGGCTCGAGGGACGGCAAAGCACTGTGAAATTCCACGTCCAGGAGCACAAGCTGAAATGTGGAACCCTCCGTGATATCCTGCGGTTTCTGCGCTATGAAAGCATGAATCCGTGCAAGAAGGAGATCTTCCGGTGTCGCATGTACATGATGTAGCATGGTGAGGTCATGGGAACTGATGCAAAATTGATGAGCAACATCTGCATGAAGTTGTTCATATGTTTGCCATCTCGGTCTGCAGTGTAGAGGGTCATGGTCAATAGAATACACTATGACTGTCCTTCTGTCTGCTGCGCTATCAGATGCAGAACTTGAAGTTTCACCAGCCTCACTCATTCCTTCATCTTCATGAATAACTGCATCATCAAGATGGACAGTATCAGGATCGTTTGTCACTGCCTGCTGTCCATGATTCTGAATGTTTTGAACATCTCGCTCGTGTCCAACTGTCCATGTGGACATCCAGGATGTTTCATCATCATCTTCTGCATGTCTTTGGAGTGTGAAATTCACTTCGCCACACTCAATTTCATGTATGTATCCTTGTAATCCGCTATGACAAAGAAGAGGTTGTAGTTCAACATGCCACTTGAGAAACAAGTTTGAAGTCTCTTCCCCCACATAGACCTCTTGTTTCTTGCTGAAGCTCACTCCCCTGTGGCGCGTCCTGCTTCTCTTCGGTTGCAAGGGCGGCAAAGAAGAGGTGCTTGGGCTTGGGCACATTGTTATAGTTCCAACCTCCCAGGCAAGGTCGAGACCCTCAATCGAAGCTTGCCAAGTGCTCGTGTAGCTGGAATCTTCTAGGATGCTGTGGCTCCAGTTCAAAAGAACTGCCTGCGAGCCGTCTGTCAGCCCTTGACAAACCTCTTGTAAGTCTATTTGTCGGGCTTCCCAAAAGGCGCCATTGATGGTGAAGCAAATCCAGTAGAAGATGGTGCCCCTTCTCCTGGCTCTTCCAATCTTGGACGCTTGTTCTTGTTCTCGCCTGCTTCTATGATTGCTGCTTCTGCAGTCTGATGCAGCTTTTGCAGGTTCTCGACCATGTGGCTGATGTTGGCTTGGATCTGCTCGGATGAGTCCACCTTGTCCACCATCTCGTCGTCTGAGATCTCGATGTTGGTGTCCGCGTCGAGCTCCTCCAATGCCACCTTCCTTTCTTCCACGGTGTCCTTTGTCTGCTGCAGTTTCTCTTGTGCTGCTTTCACCTTGTCTGCAAGCTCTTGATCCTCCTTGGCGAACTGTTCCGCAAACTGCGACCATCTCTTCGTCGAATCTGCCACATATGCTCGCCAATTGTTGTGAAGGCTGAGGCGAGCTTTCTGCGCCTCCTTGAGCTTTTTGCGCGCCTTGTCCATCTTGTCCACCGCATTCTTGAGGCTCTTCGAAGTTGGCACAGGCGCTGAGTTCTCTACAACAATGTGGGCAACACTTGCAGGTACTGTTGTGTTCGTTTCCTTCAATGCAGTTGCAAGTAATGTGAGATTTTCTGCAGCTGCTGAATGATCTTCTCCACCATGAGCCAATTGCTGTGGTGCTCCTGCATAGTTGGAGTTCCACGGCGGTTCCGGCGGTGGAACATCGTAGGAGTGTCGACCATCTGATCGAGGCTTGGCTCCTTTCTTCTGCTTCGGAGTCTTTTTTCGAGGGGTATCTCCACGTTGGCGATAGGCTGATGACGAACCATAACCTTGTTGCCAGTTCGAATCGCCCCAGTCTGTATCCTCGTTCCAGCCCGTGTAGTTCCAGTTCCCTGTTGACTGTTGCACACGTCTGGGACTCTTTGGCCTGGCATTCATGTCCTTCTGCGGGGTGTAGGTGGGATCCTGACCATGAGTCCACTTTATCCCACACCTGGCACAACTCTTTGTGTTGGCCTTGTTGGTTCTCCAGCAAAAGCTGCAACGCCAGTCCACCTGTGAAAAAGCCATCTCTGTGGCAATCACTCGAAGAAAATCTCCGTCTGCTGAATGATGATTCTTCAAAGCAGCAAACACCCTCCTCAATGAAGCAAGAGAAAGGGTCCTGATGCCTGATTTGTGCAGATGCCAAAGCTTTCTTGCTTGGGCCCTTTGCCTCCTCTTCCGTCTTCGCAGTGAAGGCGTAATTGCCCAGGATCTGAAGGATCACTGCAAACAACACAATGATCCGCATGCAAACCCAGCCCTGCAAGAAGAGGTTCACCTGGTGGTAGAGCTCGTACCGAAGCACTGCTCAAGCAATTGCCGAACTCGTCGAAGGCCACCCAGGATGGCCCGCGGGTCCGTCGGCGAAAAGACCCGCTAAGGCAAGGGTAAGATACGTCGTGGGGAGACCTACCCTGTGATCCCAAACCTTTATATATATATATATTATATATATAATAATAATATATATATATATATATCGGTCACTATTTGATAGACTTATATAGATGGTTTTCAATATTTGATGGTGTCGGTCACCAATGTAGATGTCTTTAGAGGAACCACAATTGGAATCCAAATGACCGAAGCGACGAACTCCTGTCAGGTCGCTGGTGGAATTCGAGCCAAAGCGGGACAGCACAGACACTGCTTGAAGTGGTCCTACCACGACGGTTATATATTTATCCCTACATAAATTAATGGGAATCGGTTGATATATTTCAAGGTGTTCAAATCACCAGTCCTAGAGGAGGGTGAACAATGAGATAATGGTTGATGCTTTGGTGAAGGCCAAACTTGCGAAGCGCATTGAGCAGGCTGAACGTTTACTATATATATATATTGTAAATTGGTGCAGCTAGTTTTCGGTTTTCTACCTCCAATGCTGTTCAGCACTTGATTGTCGCCAATATGGCTATTCTCCCAGAATGGCAGATGTATCAGAATGATTCACCCATTTTCAACAGCCTTTCCCATAATTCTGAACGGCAGATATCATATCATTATATGTACAGTAGTTATGTTTCAACATTTTCCACCATGGCAAGCATATGTATTTTGCTTGCTTCGTTTTGCTGTAGTAAGCCCCAAGACAGAAAAGCAATTGACCATTAGTAGGATGTGATTTTTTCTATACTTTTCTATTTTTGTTGGGGATTGTTGTATCCATGCGCTTAGGGTCTGCCCTCATGCCCCCATGTTGGCTTCGCTAAGGCTGGACTTCGGCATTTGTCCTACCACGACAAGCGGCGAAACTTTGAGGCAGTTCCAGTCGAAGGTTGATTTCGATAGGATGGGCTTGGTATAGCCCTCCATATTCAAACGTGGCTGGCTGGGAAATCCCCGAACTCAATGGAGTTTTCTAGCTGGGAACATCACCGAACTAAATTGGCAATTTTCCAGCCATGGCTTCCATTGCCAGAGGGATCTACACGGTTTTACCAGCACAGGAGTAAACCCCGGTAGAACCAATATGATCTGTTTTTCCCCAGCATCCAAGTCTGTGAGTTGTTCAAGTGCGCCACAACTTGAGATATGTTTGTTGTGACTTCAGTTGTGTCCATTGAAGATGCACACACACGCACGTATGTTGAAACCATGGGACATTCTGGGACAAGATGCAAAAAACAAGCTGTACAGGATGATAAGATTTGCAATTATATATATATATATATACACAGTATATACATGTTTGTTTGGGTGTGGATATGATATACTTCCCTTAAATGACCATTCTAAATTGGTGATGGTGGTCAGCCAATTTGCTTTCCCAAGATGTTCACCAGGCTGATTTGGAGAGACTCGCCACTTATCCTGAGCAGATCCTGGTGATCAACATGTGCCCTGGATGCCTAGGATGGGAATGGTGTAAACTCATGGTGGAAAGCTGACCAGGCTTTTTGATGATACAAAAAAAGGTCAACCCCAGATTTTCAGAAACTCCTGGGCTATTTAATCTGAGTAGCATTTCAGTGGCAGATTATCATAGATTATCTCTATTTCCGGGCTTGACAGTTGATATTACTTGTAGATACTTGTAGTGTTTGCCATGTGTTTGTCTTGCAGCAATAAATCTCAACAACAAATATTAATTCTGTTGACATGTGACGACCTTAGGACCTTGGATGAAAACACCATTGAATCGCTGCTGCGGGAAACGAACAAGTCATACAAGTCGCCCCTCCTGCGGTACCAGTCTAAGGTAGACCATGGTAGACCTAGTCTTTCACCCTGGAAGGGTCTAGTAGTGACCACCCATGACCATCCAGCTCCGGATGGCTCCGGATGGCTGGGCGGTCCCAGGAACTACCGGATGATCCGCTCGTTGTTTGAGGTGCCGGAAGACGTCGTGCGCTACTTGGTGGCGAACTAGCCACGGCTCGTAAATGGGTTATAACCCCAGTTATAAATGGGATAGGTAGGGTTAATCCACTTCAATCACTGGGGTGAACTAACCCACTTACGAGCCGTGGGATGAGCCACCAAGTAGTCACAGATCATTCTGTGGGAAAAAGGCGAAGATATCGCCAGCCATCGCCAGACTCTCCATTTTCGCGATGTATTCCATGGAGAACGTTGGAGTATGATTCCAAATCCAGAACCCGTAGGCTCATCTTGCGATACCCTCTGGTTAACAAACATAGCAATGGAAAATCCTGGAAAATCACTATTTTTAATGGGAAAATCCACTATAAATGGCAATTTTCAATTGCTATGTTTGTTTACCAGAGGGTACTAAGCAAATGATCACCATTTTTCGGGTTGTTCTGTATCTTGGAATATCCAATCTATGAGAAGTGGATGGAAAGCGGGCTGACACACCAGTTCTTCTTATATCTTACCAGCTATGTATCGCCATTTGTTAATTATATATATACACGTATTATCATAATACATTACAATGATGGAATAATATACATGAGTTAAGTATATACACATCATGATTATTATTAAGTTGTAACATGTTACAAGTTCCACATCCTCATCCCCAATGCTCCATAGAATATTTGCCAAATCCAGGGAAATGTCTATATAACTGTGTATATACATATATACATACAGTTATATATAAATATGTCCCTGGATTATATATATTCCATAAAACTAACTACATAGATGTAAATATAATATGTGTATATATATATTATAAATGTGCCATTTGGTAATGCTTCCACTTCCACCTATTTGTTCAGCGTCAACGTTTCGGCCGTGCCAGGCTGTGGCGCTGCACGAGGCAGTGCATCGATTCGGTGGGGATCATCCAGACGACCATTTTTGGGCCATTTTGGGCCACTGGGGATGGGAAAACAACCCATTTCTGTATGAAAATCTATGAATAATCTATGAAAATCTATGAAAATCTATGGATAATTTATGGATATCCATAGATTATCCATAGATTATCCATAGATTTATGGTGATTTTAAGACTTTTCAAAGGAATGATCAACTAATTTAAGGAGTTGATAGTTCAAGAGTTCCCGAACTGAGGTCTGCCGGAGAAAGCGCCGCCTTTCCTGGCCGCGGAGATCTTTGATGCGCCGGAAGCCAAGTTAAAATGATTCACAAACCCCTATTATTAGATGAGCAGTTGTCCATATGAAGAACTATATATCTATATATCTATATATCTATATAATATATCACTTTAATATAACCTCATAACCATTGCACTTTTTTTGGTTGGGTATCCCCAATATCTGTATGGAGCTTTCCTGAGTCATAGGGGTACCCCCAGTCATCATTTTCGATGGGGATTTTCCCATGACATAAACCAACAATTTTTGGATATCCCCATTTATTGCTGATTGGTGGTTTGGAACATGTTTGTTTTTCCATGTATTGGGAATGTCATCATCCCAACTGACTTTCATATTTTTCAGAAGGGTTGTTTTACCACCAACCAGTACTATTATTAACCATTATTCACCATATAATTTCCATATATTAACCATTATTAACAGTATATAAACAGTATATTAACATTATATTGACCATCATTAACCATATATTAACCATATATTAACCATATATTAACCATATATTAACAATTATTAACAGTATATAAACAGTATATTAACAGTATCATCAAAGTGTTTTTTTGGGGGATTTTCACCAATCGAGTGTTCCAGAGGTGAATCCTCCACAATCTGCATCGCTGCCATATCTCGCCTACCATGATTTGTCATTAGCTTAGCATGAAAAATAGGCAGTTGAATCACATGTTGACGCATATAACATCATATAACCATTGTTGACTAGCAAAGGTGTACAAGCTTTTCATTGCTTTTTGATCTTGTTGGTTGCTACATGAAACGTGGTCCACACCATCCCACCCCAGCCCACCAAGGGATCCATGTGAGCTGTCGCATGTGATCCTCCAAAGTGAGAGTTTGTGATCCCCCAACCTTTAATGTTGCCATAAGCAAGACCATGTGACCATGTGCTGGCTTCGAGAAGATATGGCTTCGACCATGTGAAAGTCTGGGTTATGGCACCCATCATTTCTTAGCCTGCAGTTCAAGTTGCATGTTCTCCTATATATCATATTTCTGTATGATAATGAGATATTTCATGAGCACATCCTGGGAGTGTTGATTCATCATCCCCACAGAGTGAAACTGTTGGAAACCCTGTATACCTGCTATGTACCTGTATGCTTATAAATGATAGTTACCGAGTTAGACACTTAAAAAATCCTGTTATGTACCTGTTATTATATACCTGTTATAACAAGTTAAAACTGTTTATGAATGCGTATCTTGTTGGTGGGTTCAAGCATAATTTATGTTCCATTTCATATGTGGGATGTCATCCTTCCCAACTGACGAACTCATATTTTTCAAGATGGTTAAAACATGTTAAAACCACCAACCATATATATATAGATACACAGTACATTGAAAATGGTCATTTATAGTGGATTTACCCATTAAACATATTATATAGTGATTTACCCATTATAAGCTGCTTATCAATGGCCATATCATTCCTTCACGGGTGACTTCCAGGCTCTTTGCGCCGACCCAGCTCTTGCGGCAGGAGCTGCACGTGCTGCGACAAGAGTCCGGTTCCCGACCGGGTCGGGTCATGGGCGGTGCACGTGGTGTGCTGCAAACATGGAGAAGCCAGAGAGGGCTTTTTTTATGTTGATATATGGTGATTTGTTGTTTGATTTTTGTGATATGTGATATCATGTTGATATAGTTGGATAATGAATCAAACATCGATCTATAGATGTTTATAGTTGATATATGTTGATATATGTTGGTTTCTGAGACGTACAACAGTAGAGAAGTAGCTAAGCAGCTACTGGGGTGAACATAAAGCCAATTTGTAACTCTCTACACCTTGTACACTCTGGCAATAGCTAAATCATGGAAAATCACCATCTTGAATAGCTAAATTAGTGATCTAAATGGACATCATTTAAGAGTTCCATTGGCAACATATGGGTTTTGTCTGAAAAGATGATATGATATCCCCAATTCTCACGGCTTATGTTCATTATCACCATGAGAATGCTAGAGGTTATCACCCATTTTCAGACAAACTCATATTGGGTTCCAGATCACGGTATTCTAAACACCATACTATGAATATGATTCTTAAGTCTTATGAATATTTCAAATTGGATGGACTTACCATTAAGTCAATATCCATAAAAATTAGATATACTCTCCAGTAAATTAACATAGACCCTGGCAGATGGGGGTTGGAAGACTAGTTTCCATTAAAAATTGGTGATTTTCGGGGTCTATGTTTATTTACCAGAGGGTAATTCTTACTGCAACATTAACAACTTGGAATCATTGGATTGACCAGGTATCAGAAGTTGGGTTCACCCAGTGGATCGCCCCATTTTCGCTGCCATGCGATGAGGCTGGACGTGCCTAGGGGTACCAACTTTATTGCGATCCATCTTCGTTCGGGCCGTAGGAGTTCAGCTACACAAAAATGGCTTGGTGGCAGATGTCGCTGTTTTCCACCCGTTTTGCTTGAAAGACATGTTTTTTTTCTTGAGACTTGGGCCCTTTTCGAACGGAAAGGATGTCTTTGTCTTATCATTTTGATATATTTTGATTCATTTTAGGATATTTGCTGCATATTTGCTGCAAAAAATGATGCTAAACTTGGTCAAACATGGTACATTGTACACATTGTACACCCAATGCCTAGCACCATGGGTTCCCAGGTACTGGTCAGATTGCCTACGATCCAAGTCGCCATGGGGCTGACGAGCTGGAGGCATGGTGCAGCGTGCAGCATGGCTGGGATGGTAACCGTTTTTTTACCCACCAAGAAAAAAAACATCAATGACCCCGGAAGCAAACACTGGTTGTTCATGACCAATCCGACCAACCCGAAAGATAACGAAAGATCACGAAAGCCCCTTAAGTAATCTGAGGAATTGCTAGCTGTGGCGCTGATTGCTGGTTCCAGCCGATTCTACGCCGCTGGATTGAGAGCTGGCTGTGTTTTTTGTTTCCTTGTTTTCCTTCAAGATGGGACAAGAATGGACAAGGATACTTTAGGTTTCAGGGAAACCGCCAACCATCGGATTGCTTGGAATCCCGGATCCCCACTTCCGGTTGGCTATACACATAGTATACCCTCTGGTAATTTAACATAGCTATTGAAAATGGCAATTTATAGTGGATTTTCCCATTAAACATGGTGATTTTCCATAGCTATGTAAACGTTTACCAGAGGGTACCCCCATTGTTTGGATTTTCCACCAGGAAAATTGGGAACGGTTCGCATCCCCACTGGTCAGCTGGGACAGGTTTTCCTGGCATGTGCGCGGAGAGCTGAAAAGGATGTGGGTCCCAGAGCCCAGTGAATGGTGCATGGTGGAAAGTTGTTGTTCCGCACTTATACATTGAGTTATATAAGGTCATATAATGTCATATATGCAATATATATATTATATGTAGTAATATAATTGTATAATATATACTATATACATATATAGCAACAATACCAACAACAATACTAGTTGTACTAAATCATACCACACACACTACAGATCTTGCACAAATCTCAGAGCGCTCAAGAAAGTTACCCGGCCTGGTAAACGTTTACAAAAAACGATGGGAAATCACAATTTTCAATAGGTAAATCCATGGTAATTTAACCTAACTATTGGGAAGATCCACCATTTTTTAGCTGGGTAAATCCACTATTTCTATGGTCATTTTCAATAGCTATTTTGACATAACCAGAGGGTAATACGGATCAAACATGTTGCGCCAGCACTTGCCAGCACCCGTACTTTCTTTAACACCTTCGACATGTTTTTGTTGATGATTTTTCAGAGTTTGCCAGTGTCAAAATCTAACTTCGACATGTTTATATCTTATACCGAAATCTTGAGTTTCCCAGCCAAACAGTGATGTTCACCTTGATCCAATCATTCAGTGCAAAAAGAACACAGCAAGACTGGGATCGTCATTGGTTTATGGTTGGATAATTAGATATATCTGTAGTATTAACATGTATAAACATGAGAGTAACCGACAAAATTAGCAAAAGATAAAAAGTCAAATTATATAAAGTAGTAGGGAGTGGACTTGCGATGTTCAAATTTGTGTTCAAAACTTCACAACCAATAGGAGACCACCCACTTGCCGATACCCTATTTTTACAGAAAGCATGGACATGTAAACCTTCACAAGCGATAGGGGACCACCTACTTTGGCCATGTCCATTGCGAGTAGTAAGTAGTTTTGTCCGCCACTCATGTATAAAGCATAGTTCCTAATGAATATTCCATTAACCATTAGTATACCATTAGTATACCATTAGTATAAGATGTATAAGCATATCTTAAGCTGGTTGGTGGTTTCAACCCCTCTGAAAAATATAGTTCATGTATGTTCATATTTGGCTTTCCCTCCCAACCACCCTGGGAATTTCGGCCAAGGCGAAGCGCTGTGGCTCTTGGCCACAGACTCGGAGAACTTGGCGCAGCAAGCACTGGAGCTGCCGGAGGCTCCATTTTTGGGCCCAATGGCTTGAAAAACTATGGAAATGGCTTGGAACATGTTGTTCCCCACCTGTCAGGTTGGAACATGTTAGATTTTATGTCAGGTGGGGATCACTCGAAGATTCGAAGTTGTTTTTGAAACTTAGCAAGGTTGCTCCAGCTCATGAATGTGTAAATGATACTTTTGGGTGGGAAAATTGGGAATTTGATCGATTTACACCCTTGTATTTGGTGTGTTGTGAGAAACCCTGATTAAGGCCCAATGGTTTCCAAACATTTGTTTCATTAAAACTACAGTCTTAAGGATTACTGTAGCCCAGTTTTATGCAAATATATGCATAGCATATATCATATGCATGCATATCCATAAAATATTTTGATGGTAGAAACTGTACCTTTCCGCATTATTGAACATATTTTGATATATATATATATTATTTGGACCTTTCCAAGCTTTGCCTACTGAAACATGGGTTGTTGACGTCCTGCAATTTAGAACCCTGGAGATACATATATATATATATACATACTTGATCATCTTGTGTAGCGATCCTTGTCAGGATCCTGACATAGCCAACGGCGCCAACGGTTAGTGGAATGAAAGTACCACAGGTCTAACTTATGCCTGTAAATTGTGAAGCATCCACTTTGATTCCAGTGTCTTTTGAATCGACGGAGAAAACGTATCATTGCCTTTTACGAGCCGATGGATTTGTATAGGCAGGGTCACCAAGTTGTTTGTGTCACCTGTTGCTGGGTCAGGTGAGAGATTACATACTACACTTATCATCTTTGATTAGCGATTGTGCCAAGATCCGACGTTGTGAACAGTTGTGGTGGGAAAACTTGAATCCACCCATTCCTTTTTGTGCGGTACGGGTGAAGGAACAAAATTACATACACTTCTCGCAGACTCTGCGAAGAGACAATACATTTGAAACATATCAGAACCATTTTTCAATGGTTTAGCTCATAATTATACATGATCTATCCCATCAAATAATCAACTAATACGATTACTAATGTATTATTACCAATTAACCATGTAGGTATAAGTGTCCCATCATCAGCTAATCTATCCAAATAGCTGTGGCGCTTCTGGGCCAAGCGGCCACAGGCGAAGTCGGGCAAGTTGCGCTTGCCACATGTGTGGCTTCCCAGCACCGTTTGCACCTGTCATCCAATACCTGAGGCAGAGGTGCTACGGGAAATGGCCCATTTCTAGGTTTATAGTTGTGGGCCAAAAATATAGCCTTATTTATTAAGTTGTGTTGTGTAAATCATAGATTTATAGATTATATAGCTACAATCAGTGATGCGCCATGATTAATTATAGTTATTGGTGATTGTCCATAGCTATGTTAAGTTACCAAAGGGTGGCAAATCAACGAAAAAGGAGGTAGCAGGTAGCACTGAGTCACCAAGAAATGAAGGACAGTTGGCACCACTGGCTTTGTGGGGCCACTTTTTTTGAACAGGAAAAAAAATCTTGGTCGCCGTTGATCAGGAATATTGACCAACAAACATCGGACAGGTTGGATTGATGAAGCAAGAATTGGATTGGATGAAATTGGAACATCATCAACCAACATCCAATTTCATACCCATGAATGAACAGGGATTGCTGATTGCCGAATCCCATTTAAATCCATTAAATCAACTTATAGATGATTGACCAAGCCCACAAATGGCTGTGTGCAATTTTTTGTGGAATGCAAAACTCCACAAACGAGATGGTTTTCTTACAAAGTGCTGGATTGGTGTTTTGAAGTCGTTTTTTAGTTGAAGAATGGATACAGTAAACAAAGAGTATCTATAGTAGAGTGCAAATATGTCTGTAATATATGTTTTGATAGATATGTACATAGATACTGATGTATGCAAATCAAAAATAGTCTAATTTGTTCCATATGTAAGATGTATTAATATGTAATACTAATTGCATTTATTAAGTATGCAAATCAAATACATTTAATGCGTTTACATCCACAACCAGGGACCTCACAAGCGTGCCCTGGTTCCAGGCACGAGGACGAGTGCATATTGATCGTTCGGATCTGGGAGAAACGTGCCAATGCTCAGCGGCATGCCATGTGTACCACCTGGGGGGCCATTGTTACACGTTTCTGGACATATCTGGACATGCTGTACAAAATTCTTTGTATATTGTATTAATATGTATATATATATATATACATACATATATATATATATGTTACATATGATTCTGTCTGAATTACAGGCACATCCTGGTAGTTTTCAAAATAATAAAACAAAAGAGGAAAAACATAGGATTGACCCCCTCCAAAAAAAATAGGAAAACAATGGGTGGACAAACACCCGTGATTTTGAGCCTCTATTTTGTTCCTATTATTTTCCTTTTTTCTCGTACAGTAAGTGTTTCCTATTTTTTCCTAGTGATTGTCCGTTTCCTATTTTTCCTGTTTGTTTAACTAAAGTTTCCTAATTTTCTCAAGGTTTTTGCAATATTTCATGTGTCCATATTTTCTCAGCAACATTTCGGATTTCTCTTTGGCCACCTCCATTTTTTTCCTATGTGTTTCCTATTTTTCTGGAGGTTTTTTTCAATGTTTGACCTTTCCAGAAAAATAGGGAAAAAATGGAGGTGGCCAAAGAGAAATCCGAAATGTTGCTGAAAAAATCTGGAAAGATTAAAAATTGCAAAAACCTCGAGAAAATTAGGAAAACATAGGAAACAAATAGAGCGTCAAAATCACGGGGTTTTGTCCACCCATTGTTTTTCCAATTTTTTGGGGTGGTCGATCCTATTTTATTTCTTTTATGATTTCCTTGATTTCCAAGGGGTGCCTGGAATAGGCAAACATAAGTATATGATTGATCATTGTTTGAATGTATGTATTCTCACGGATCGCTGCATGATGGTTCCGAATATCATGAACACTTGCAATGTGGGGCCCCCCAGTTATAAATTGGTTTATAAACACCAGTAAGTATAGTTATAAGTACCATAAACCATAGTTATTGGAGTTATAAACCAACTTAGCTATCTAGTGGGCCCCACTTTGTGGGTGTAAAAGAACGGAACAATCTTCTTAGAGCTCCTACGACGCTACTGACCACAGCTCCTATCTCCGATGATCCTCCAACTGGATTTGTGTTGCGCGATCAGCGCGCAGAAACCCAATTTATGGATGGTCAATTTTGCAGTTGTTGGAAACCCAATTTACATGTTGTTGATGGTTGAATCATTGCCCCCATATGCCCCCATTGTGTTGATTGCTGAATCCAATCATTATCCCCCAACTCGCCAAGACCCTGAAAGCCCCACCAATTCGATGAAAGTAATCTTCCAACCGCGAACTCATGGCATGGGCATGGTCTTTATATGTGCAATTCCGTCAAAAGTTGAATTATGTACCCATATTGGGGGATGGTCACCAATCTTTCAATAGACATCAATATACCCATTTCATCCCATTTCAATGAGGATTCCCATCATGGGATGGATGACCACAAAGATATACTTAGACCCTCCAAGTAGCCATGTTAAGATGGGTTAACAATGCTAGAATTCCGGACTCATACTGTTTATCTTGATGATTATTGCTGATTACTGAAGATTATTGATGATCATTGCCTCTTTTCCATCAATAATCAACTAGTCATCAACTAATCATCAACTTATAGCCAACAAATTAATCAACTAATCAACTAATCGTCAACTAATAATCATCTATTGCTGTAAATTGCCCCAAAAAAAGTCTGGGTACTTGGAGGGTCACCATCGAACCTTTGGCACGTCCGCCATGACCCGAGGCTTAATGGTGCCACTGCGAACTACGCCGAATGGCTCCTCTTTGGGCAAGCAGCAGCAGTGTCTTGGCGTTGGAAGATGGGAACATGGGGAGTTACCAGAGGGGTACCCTCTGGTAAACATGCAAAAAACTATGGAAAATCACCATTTTTAATGGGTAAACCAACTATAACTTGCAATTTTCAATAGCTATGTTAAATTACCAGAGGGTAATGTGATTGAAGGCAATCCTATCCTATATCCACCATCACAAGGGAAATGTAAAATCGTAAAGTGAAGCACTTGATTTACCTTCTGATAATTTGTTATACAAAGCTATGAAAGCCATGAGCCATTTAGTTCGGTAATTTACCTTAATTTACCTCTTTGCCATGGTGACTTCCATGGTTGTGTATAAATTACCCGAGGTTAATGTTATTGAAGTATCAGTAAATGCGCAAAATTGGGAGACAAACTTTGGACTGATTTGACCATCGGCAACTTAGAATTTAACCATCACACACATGGGATTGCACCAAGAAGGATGAATTTATTTGGGATTTAACATGGTTTAAGTGTATCAATCAATGGAGGCATATGGAGGCTAAGGGTAAGAGTCAAACACCTGGATATGATTTGGATTTTCCCAGCAAAAAATAGTTCCTGACCAGTACTTGGATGAACATGCATGAACCATTAAACTTGGGGATTGAATGATGGTTTGTGCAGATAGATCTATGCTTGGAAAGACCGTGATCTTAAAAACGTTCCAAAACTTCCTAAAACTGGTACGTAGATTATGTAGAAAGTATAAACATGTATAAACTAAAAATTCCAAGCGCTTCGGGGTTGAGCACAAAGCCAAGCGGATGGCTCCGCGAACAGCAAGGTTTTCGTTGGACTCCCTTCGACTTCTAAAGGTGACCTGCCTATATGTCCATTTATTGAAACAGCTTTCCTGTAAAATGTCCCTTCCAATCCAGGAAACGTCTCATGTTTGTCGACCAAATCCTACATTTTCATCATGTTTTTTGCCATTCCCCAAGATTTATCCATTTTTCGATGGTAGTCATGGTCAAATCCCAACTTCTCCTCCGAGGTGATCCTCTCTCGAAGTTACTTCGGGGAAACGGCCGCAGAGATTGGTCGTGTGCGTTTGGGTGCTGAGGTCGTAGAGTTGGTGCAAAGATCATGAGTTCAGGTCTGGGACATTCATGGGGATATCATGGGTATATATGTAATTATATATATATTATATACTCATTATCCAAATTTGGGTGTGTTTCAAAATGGGTAATATAACGATTATGACTCTATTTCAATGAGAAACATGATCACGAAGCATCATTTGTTTGAGTACCATATTGGATGTTTGTTGAGACCAATGAAGAATGGTACCATAATTTCGTCCCACATGGGATGAGGTTGTTCAATACATATGCTGGCTGATCCCACTGGTTGAAATGAGATTGAGGGAATCCTTTGTCAAATTGATGGTCATAGGGGGTTCTACTATATACCTAGCTCGTTTCAAAGGGATTAAAGACGCCGCCATTGAAGATAACTCTATCTAAAATCCATTTCCGAGATAGTGACCCACGACCCAATGCAAATCCAAGACTTTCTGTTCATTCCAGAATTGCTTTCAGGGACAATGTCCAGGAACCCCCAGTTTGAGCTCGCAAATCCATGATTACCCCATTGCCAGCTCATTGCAGATGATTAAATTGATTTAAATTCTCCACGTTTACGTATTTTTATATGTATATAATTTCATATAAATTCTCTTAACTGGTTGGTGGTTTGGGACATGTTTTATTTTTCCATACATTGGGAAGAATAATCCCAACTGACTTTCACATGTTTCAGAGGGGTAGGTATACCAACCAGATAAATTCTCTTAAATTAGGTCAAGACATGTCAAGACTCTTGGATTCTCCCATGTTTCTATAGGTTTTATTAGGTCTACTATGGTCTACTCTTCCACGTTTTATCGCTTTTCTCCATGTTTCCAGGTCAAGACTCTTGGAGTCAACCCATTCCCAGAGAAAACGCCACCGCGAACGCCTTGAGGTCACGCCTATTTTGCGCCCGGCAACGGCTGCGTCCGGACCGACCTGAGCTCCTCGTGACAAAAAGACGCTTCCGCGACGCCGTTTTCCGGAGATGATGGTTTCATTCATGGTGGATTAGTCTGGAATAGAATGGAATATGTATAATTATGTATGGTTAAATATATATATATATACACACATAATATATATACATATATATATATATGCATATATATGTGTATATATATACATACATATATATATACATACATATATATATATACATACATATAGATATATATATATACATAGTATAAGTATGAACCTTAGATGGTTGGATTTATCGGAGTTATGAACTGATCCAATGTGAGAAGCCTGGCCCTAACCACTAGGATTATCCAGCAATAAATCATCAGCTGCGGTGATGTGAAGAATCAGTTGCAGGTGCACTGAATGTGCACTGAAAGTGCAACATATTGGTAGGGATGGACAGGTGAAACTTCTATAGTTTTAGGGACTCATATAGAATAGTACCCCGCTGACAATATGTACTCCCTAATGTTGATTTTGGGATGTGAAACTTATGCTTGGGCAAGGATGGCCAATGTTTTGCAAAACTTTCATCATGATTGGTTGTAATCAAAGGCCTTGATTTAATCATATTTTATCCAAGATTTGTGAGTTGCGACATAGTCATACGTCCAGGTTTGGACCAATCCACACATATAGAGAGAAATAGAAGAAATGTTTCTCACTGGCTCTCTTTTGGCATACCTACAGATCAGGTCGCTATGCTTAAGACCCCCAGGCAATTTTGGGTTTCAATAGCATGTAACCGTCAGGATACCCCGAAGTCTGAGTCTGACCACCAGCTGAAGAGGCTTATGAGAAGTTGATCCACGATGTGATCCAGGGAGTGACATGGCTGCAGTGAGAAATGGGCGTAGCAACGTTGTCCATGAAACTTCCACAGACAATGATGAGAAGCGCAACTGATTTGTCCACGAAGCTGAAGATCTTTTTGTTTGGCCTGTGTTCCGGAAGTACTCAGTCATAATCCCTGTAGGATTCTACATTCTTGTAGGGCCTGTGGGGTTCAGCATACTCAGTCACTGGTTCTAAAGTGTGCAAGTAGAGTTAGTGAATAGGCATAGGTGAAACACTTACTCTGAAAAGGTAAGTCGACTTAACTCTATATGAACCAGTTGTCACTCAAAGCTGGGCTTATTTGGTGATAGCAGCTATATCACCTACTGATACTACGCACTGTCTGCAGCACTGTCTGACGCGAGGAAAGCCATAACTTTGTGCGGAAAGACGAACTGGAGCAGGTGGAGCTCGGGCAACAAGAACGAATTGGAGGTTGCTGTTGGCTATGCACAACGAGAACCTATTAGCTCAGCCTATCCCCAGTAGTATCAAACGCCCGCTAAAGCATTTATCTAGTATTCACGATCAAGAAATGGAGGATATGGAGGTTTGGCTTTTAATACCAGTCGAATGGATTGGATGAATCGGGCACGGTTTTTGATTGTTGGCTTTGCCACTAGTTATTAGTTGGGGAACGTTGGAGAATCTCCCCTATTTGGGTGTAAAAAACGCCACCCAAGTCATTTCTGGGATGGTCATTGGATTTACCACATGTTCCTCCAACTGTTACCCCCTTTCACCCCGCGCACACACACACACATGTCTCAGGGATGCAGTCCAGGGATATTTCTGAATCGTACCAGGGATGTTTTTTGTTTCTTCCCAGGATAGAATCCCATTTTCAGGTGAGATGGTCAGCTCGCTGAGAATGTCTCCCAGTCAAGCCGATGTGGCGGCACGTAGCATTTCCATCGACCGTATAATTGTTTTTGTCTATCCATCTATTTATCTATACGTACAATACTATATGTTCTTATATAATATTATACAGTCATATACTTATTGATGATTGAAGATTGTGATTGGATTAGTTATATGTTACGTACAGAGTACCATACAGCGTACCATTCATTATTTTTTATTTGTCATTGATTCTCATTCATGATCATGAATTCTAGGTAACACTACATATTTTGATATTATTTTATTATATATTCTATTTATTGTTATTATTTGGACATGTTGTAACCTCATATTGACGAGTAGGAAAAGTAGGGCTAGTCCAGTCATAAGTGGGATTACAAAATATTATAACCCACTTGAGCAGCGTCAAAAACCTCGTTGCGAACTGGTTCTACTGGTTTGTTTATGATTTATACCTATTCAAATAACATATAACATAATGTAATGTAATATAATATAATATAATAATGGATTGTTGGCAGTTCCTTTTTTTTTTACCTTTTTTAAAATATACCGTAGGAATAGCAGAACCCTAATCTTTTCAGAATAAACCCGTGGGCCCATGGACTTCGATTAGGCCTGGCGGATTTTCGATCCGCTGCTGACCACTCTGGAGGAGGAGGAGGTCTTGGGATGGTGGGCTTTACCCTAGCATTTCTGTTGGTTCACTGTTGGTTATATGACAGACGCATACAGCCTATGTATATATATATATATACATACATATTATCCATAATCTATATATATATAATGTCAACCCCGGATTAATAAAAAAAGAGTTTGATGGAGGTCCGAAATGGTGACCATTTGCTAAAAGTTCTGACCAAGTGAAATTGGGCAGCTTGTGGTTTTGGTGGGCCCAGTTTCTGCAAGTCACTTGCTAGGGCCTAGGGTCTTATGGGGCATATATATAGATGCATATAGGAGATATGATATAACTATGGTATAACTATGATGGAACTATGACTATGATACACAAACTATAACTATGACTATGACTATGATATAACTATGCCATGATATGTGGCTTTTCTACACAAACAAACTTCACCGGGACGGCCCACACACTGTACCTCCATGTCTCGGCCGCAGAAGCGCGTGCCGGAGCCATACCGCCTTGGCAGTCGAGGACCACTCAAGGTGCCTGGACGTGGTGCAACTCACTGCCTGGACTTGGCAGACTTGGCTACTCTTCTGGTAAACTAACATAACTATTGAAAATCACCATTTTTAATGAGTAAATCCACTATTTCTATGGCCATTTTCAATAGCTATGTTAGTTCACCAGAGGGTACTCTTCTGGTAATCACACATGGCAAGCTGGACAATCCTCTACTGCTTGGTTTGGAACATTTGGATTATTTTTTAACATATATTGGGAATGTCATCATCCCAACTGACGAACTCACATTTTTCAGAGGGGTTGAAACCACCAACCAGTAATAGTAATAACAATAATAATGATAGTAATAATAATATGTTAATGGGAAAATCATCTATAAATGATGTGTGAATGGGAAAATCCTTTGCAATCATGATGTTTTAATGGTATGTTCAACGAACTAAATGGTGGATGTCCATTGCCATGTTTGATTACTGCAGGTAAATTGGTTTGTAAGTGGGTTAAGTAAGTTGGCTTTATAGTTGAGATGGGTTTATAAAAGATAAACACAACATAACTAGGGGGAACACCCTTGCGGGACCATGCACCAATGCAAATGGCAAAATTTCAAGGCGCTTTCAGGTTTTGAGTCTTCACTTCTTGAATTGCTGGGATCCAGAAGTTCGATATACTTTGCTTCAGGAACTTCAGTGTGAGGCGGCCAATTCCCTCGAATAAGCCCAGGCAATCGGAATCTTTGATTCCACATCACAAGCCCATGATATGATTTGGATTAAGCAGTTGATGATTTGGAAATGTTTCTCTCGGTCTGTCCCACCAGTTTCCCAGCAGTTTCCCAGCAGTTTCCCATCAGGCCGACATGCTCATCGACCGTATGGGTTTCAGGCGGATGGGTTGCTGGATGGGTTGCTGGGGGTTGCTGGGATGATGACATGAAACGAATGTGATGAAGTGGATCATTCCCGTTAAAATTCCCTGCGTAAACCGCATCAGTAAGTATGTTTACTTCCAAGATCTCCAACAAAAAATGACCCAAGATCTTCGATTTTGATAGGCACAGCTGGAGTTCTGATGACAAATTGAGACACGAGATACACATCAAATGTTGATTTTTGGTTTGAAGTATGGACTAGTATGATAGTTGAACAAAGCTGATCTATTAGGCCAAATGGAGCCATTTTTTCCCAATGATGGCACCCCAGGCAACCACAACTCAGACTTGGAACAATCGGAAGAAGACAAACACCATATCATCAACATAGTTTTCTTAAAATCGAGGATCCCCAAGTCCTTAAGTCACCATGTTTTTTTCACTGGTAAATCTAATTTGGAGGATTTGGGGGCTACCCCCATGATTTATGAAACCTCCATGTAATCAACATATCAACTCACATCAGTCTGGCTTCCACAACCACCACTGGTTTCAGGACCAATTTCCAGGTCTCCAGCAGTTCTCCAGAGCGCTCGATTTTTTTGAGGCGCTACACCGTCACGGGAGTTCCGGGCTTTGCTGAGGACGACTTTGATTGAGGCGATGAGGGGATCCAGTGGCTGTGGTGAGAACCTTCAGATCAACTCTTGAGGAATGCACCACGGAAATTCCTGGACATCTCTATGAATGATTACCCAACCTGGTTATGACATTCACAGTTCGCCATGGTTTTTTCGATGGCCCATAGAAATAGATGGTTTACCGAACTTAAAATTGGTGGATCTTTCAATGGCTATGTTAAACAACCAGATGGTCCCTTTTATGCCCCCCCATCTGAAGATTGCATGGACTTGCCACACCCCCAAGGGTTCCCTTTCTGCCCCACTGAAAACACGAGCCTTGGAACCCGTCCAAATCACAGGCAGCTGGTCATGTTGAGTAACTGGAGCATTTAGGATTTTTCTGTACCACTCCTCCTTATACCAAGACTGGTGTAATGTGGTGATGTTGATGGAAGACAATCCAGCAACTTTCCAGAATGCCAAGGTGTGTTTGGCACTTTCTAATCTTTTCCTTGGAAACAAATCAACTGATGTGGGCGATTCCAGAAAAGGCAGACCCCCCAAAATCACCATGATCAAAGTTTTACGACCTGTTGCAATGGAAACCCGTGGGTGTAGATTCTTGAGACATGAAATTTGGCTCTTTTGACATGCATGGCTTCCCAGCCATTTTTGCTTCCAAGGATGGCCTCATGGATGCCATACTTCGCAGCGCATAGAATTTGTCAAAAGAAAACACCATCCAGTAATCAAAGGTGGCTAGTAGGAAAATCCGCCCTTTATAGTTTGATGTTCCCAGCTACAATCCTGCATTTGTTTCGGGGGTTTTCCCAGCTAGCCACGTTTGATGAAACCGGAGGGTTTTTGTGTGCTTTGCGATCATTGGGCGCCGCAAAGGGCGAGGAATCCATCTAGTGGGAATCCAAATTCCCCGAAAACAACTGCGTGTATACCAGATGTATAATGTATATCATATATTGTGTGTATATATATATATATTGTATATAACTTATGTGATATATATATATTTATTTAACTTATGTGATATATATATAACTTATGTGATATATATATATGTATATATATATAATATGTATAGTTACATGTATGTACATACACAGACATACAGTACACAATGCATTGAGATTTGGCAGGCGAAAAATGACGATTGAACCATCAATAACATTTCTAATTTGTGGCCTTAGGATCCACATTGCTTGTCCACGTGTTTGTTCGTTTAAGGATTAAACAGTAAATTATCACATTTTTGGATGCAGTACCTTCTTTTTCTGACCCATACACAAATGACATATTAGCAAGTACAAGATGAAACACTAGCAAAGTTAGCAGGAATATGGTTGATTGAAGATGAATGAAACCAAACGATTTGGCAAACTGAAGTTGTAGGACATGGAACACCAGGGTCGCATCGATCTCAAATGTGCCGTGCTGTTGGAAATGGAAGCATCACAGTGGTCCGGATTGCAAAGACCTGCCCAATCCTTTCCAACCCTACAAAACAAGCAGGGTATTCCCATGAGAAGCAATGGGCAACAAACAAAACTTCATGTCACTCATCAAGCACAAACCCGTGGCGTATGTGCATTAAGAACTTCTTGACTTCAACACATTAAAGAACCTCCTAGAAGCCGCATTCCCAACTCAAACCCCATATTTTTTTAAAAAAATATTTTATCAGATTTGATTAGGTAGTTCAAAGAACACAGTGAAGCAGATGTTTGAGTTTCCATGATTGTCATGTTTATCAAGCAACATGTATAGAGAGGTATGATACATTATGTGTCTATAGTTTAGTTCAGAAGTGCAGTTTAAGAAAGTCTAGTAAGCAATAATGTGGTGTACCCCCGTAGTCATGTTTGTTGGTTTGTGACTCCCGTCATACGTACAGATGTGTGTAGATATATCCACAACAAACCCAATCATGAACCTACTTATTCATACTTATTTCAACCAACATAGCTACCAAGCTGGGACACAACCTTGCATGATACTTCCACGTGTCTGAAAAGGATCGAAGAAGGGGTTATATTCTCAATTATGCCTATAATTCATAGGGGTTTAGTGATGATGAAGCATCACTTCTTGGAGGTACCTGAGGTACCTGTCTTTTTTAAAGACAAACCCAGGTTTTCTCCAGTTGGAAATCCATCATTTCTTTCATCATCCCTGCCATGGCTGGAGCGAGTGCCAAAAATGCGGCTCTGGCGTGGGCGGAGAAGAGAAAAGCGCAGGCCGGACCGCTTTGGGACCAAATCATAGGAGGCAGTGGTAATCCACAGAAACTCTCCATTTTTAAGGGATCATTTAAGGGAAGGTATTGAATTACCATATCAATTACCATATTAATAAAATTATAGATATAATTATATATATATATAATTATATATTAATAATTATATATATGTTAATATTTATAGATATATAATTATATATATACCATATGGAGAGTTTTACAAGACGTTCGAATACCATAGTTGTGGTGATTTGCAGCTGGTTGCCGGAGGTTGAGGCGGCCAATCTTAAGAAGGCGCAGAAAGAGATGGGCGAAGTGACCTCGGATCACACCTTCAAACCCAAGCTGAGGAGTACGGCAAAGGGTACCAATGTGAGGGGCCAACCTTGGCAATGGACCGTCCCCTTTTTATGGAGATTTTGTGATATAGAAATGGGAACATGTTCTAGACTTCTAGAAATGGCGGTTGTCTGAAAATTTAGGGGAAACAAAAGCCCAACACCCATTTTTAGATACACCATGATACACCCATGTATTTTTTTCGGAGGTCATCAAGTGCTGCCTGAAGTCTCGGGGTCATCAAATGTGTTTTGAAAGAGGGGGGAAACGGAACATGAGGTCTTAAGAATTTAGAGCATTCATGTGGGTAAAACAATGCCATAAACCACCCATTTGGGAATGGTAACCATACCACCATATACCACCTATGGTGATTGACCCATGAAGGACTCCCGAGTTCACGGCATTTGATGCTGAGGATACTACCCACTGCTTGAAATATACCAATGGGATCTTTGGAGATCTTTCCCAAACAACAACTGACCTTTCCCATTGATTTTTGATGCTTGGCCCCAACTTGTTTGACCTTCATGACCTTCACGACCTTGAGAGATGAAGCATCAGTCAGCCCCAAAACGACCTTCGCCGTTTCGCAGCCATTTCCCCCTAAAACGACGACCAAAACGCGCCTATCGCGCTCTCCTGGGGCTCGGCGACAACATGTCCAAGAGTTTGAAGAAGCAGATGCAAAAGGCGACGGTTTCTCGGTCAAAATGTTGATGCGCCGGGAAGGGGCCGGAGGGGCCTCGATACGTTACTGAAGATAATTAAGCGAAAGGACCCACGGATCGATGGTGTATGATTATACAATATATATATATATATATTTATTATGTAGTTAGATGGATCATAAACTTATTGTAGGAGTACAGAGATATTGATTATTTTTTGGTGGCAAACAGCGTGTTTGTTTTTCAATTTGTTTGGGAGGTTGTTGCATATTGCTGATGAAGAATGGTAGTTAAGCCCTCGCAAGCCAAGGTGAAACACACCGACATGGCGAATGAGATGAGGACAGAAGTGGTTGACATCATTGCAGGCACAATGGGGCGGGCATAAAACCAAGCGCAATGAAGACGGAATGGAAATATAATTGGGAACATTAATCGGAGATAATTCAGAGATGGATGGTATTATATAATGCTTATCAACCATTTGATAGGTATGTTACTGCTTATATAATCCATTGATGGGACACAATTCATCTACACCCATGGATACCATGAGATTTAACCTGCCAAACATATCCAAAAATGAGGGATACCTGGATACCCCCAATCTTCTGGCTGCGAGGTGGGAAAATGATGAGCCATTAAGGTAAGGTATCCAAAGGTGGAACATGTTTTATTTGTCCATATATTGGGAACAATAATCCCATTTGACTAATATTTTTCAGAGGGGTTGAAACCACCAACTAGCCTAGATTCAAGACCATTAACACCCAAAATGGCCTAAACTTGGGAGAATTGTCTTCCAGACCTCCAAACCCCAAATTGGGCTTCCCATTTGGGATCTTTTTGGAGCGAACTGGAACCATCCATACAGCGACGTAAGTTCCGGCCCTTCCGGGTTAAGAGCGCAGATCAAAATCCCAGTGAAATTGGGACACCCTTTACTATGGTTTATGATAGTGCCCATTTTTTGATGGCCCAATTTTGATCCCTTTTTTTGTGTGATGGTTTTGGAAGTTTTGGAAAACCTGCGGATCTTTTTGGACCTTTTTGGAGACCGTGGGATAGCCCAACATATTTCCACAGGCTCCATCGACAAGTTCACGCACGCAACACAGGGAGTCAACTTTGAAGGTGCCACTAGAGCCATCAAGGACCGCAGTGTCGCCGTTTTATGCCACGACCAAAAAGGTGTATGGAAAACTGCAGTTCAATGGGTCTGGTAGCTGTAAATTCGACAACTTTTTGGCATGTTTTTAAATAGGAATATGCTGAATATGATAACAGATACGTCAGATAGGTACTATGTACATGATATTTAGATGGTTTCCGTATGTTTCCGTTGGGTGTTCTTTGAGTGGTTTGATCATTCAAATCAAGGTGATTTTTAAACCTATCAGATCATTGCTATTAGCTGAATCAATCAGCGGCGAATCTTTGGAAATGCCAGGATGCATTGGACAAGAGCTACGGCTTCAATTGGCACTGTGCCATGGGCAAGGGGTCCCCTCCTCAGCCGGTCAACCCAGCAAGATGGTCATATGGTATGGTCACGACCAAGTCCAGAAGTTTCTTTAAAGGTTTTGGAGCTACCAACCAGGGTAGTTTCTTCTTTGGCTTGTAGGTGTGGCTCAAAATTACCCATCTCCAACATGGAGGTTTTAGCGGATTTATCCCCACAATACTGTAGATTGGATTGTTTGCAAATAGGATACCCCTATATTTGATGCTTAATCACAATATTCTTGACACACAATCTTAGTCTTGTGGGTTCAGTTCCCATTTTTCTCCCGTTATTGTCACACGAATTCTGCATGTCTATCTATCTCATTAATGTCGCATTCATATCCCATTATATATACACATGATATCACATGATGTTATAAGACGACAACTTCTATGGGTCCGTTAGCCCCTTTCATCGGGCCTGGGCTTGCCAGGTTCTGCTTTGATGTGACCGCACAGAATGGCACGCTGATGCATTGCCCCATGGCACGAAGGGGTGACGTTTGAAGGTGCTGACCAGAGTGCTAACAGTGTTGACACATCAACATATGATTATTAAATTGTACTAAATTATCCACAGTATATATTCTGGGCACTTCAAATCTAATCCTTAATCCTGGCGCCGGATTGCGGATTGTCGTTTTGCGGATTGCTGCTCGTGAGTGGTTTTCATGTAACTGTTCCTGTGCTAGTTACGCTTGTTTAAGAGGCACTCCGTAGTACGTACTCCACACTGCTGCTCTAGACTACTCTTCTACGACTCTACACCATATTTCACTACTCTACACGATCTACACGATCCTGCGCTGCTCTCCACTACTTTACAATACTATGCATACTCTTCATACATTACTATAGATAGATAGATAGATAGATAAATAGATAGATAGATAGACAGATAGACAGACAGACAGACAGACAGACAGACAGATAGATAGATAGATACATAATTATACGTATTGAGTGGCCCGTATGGATGGCCAGGTATTAAAGGTTTGGGATTGATCATCAACTACTGGTTCGTTACAAAGTTTGACAATGTTTGGCACCAGGATGGATTTGGTGAACCACCAGCCAAAAGGCAAAAAAATGTTGAGGGATTTTATCATGTTCCTCCGCGGGGTCCAAGATGATCTTACCATGTTCTTAATGCGTTACAAGCCCTATATGATTTGTGGTGAATGCAAATTATGGATATTTGAGGCCCCATTTATGGACCATCATTCTCTGTACTAGTCCAGATAGAGCTCTGAGAGAGTGGCTTTGAAAAGGTTGCAAAGATGCATATGCATCCCCGTTCACCGCCAGTATGCTGTATTCGCAGTGAATCACTTCCCATTTGGGTATCCCAAAGGGCCCTCTGGTAATCAAATGTGGCAATGGGAAATCCCCTAGAAATGGAGGGTTTTAATGGGAAAATCTCTATAAATATCGAGAAAATGTCGGATTTTCCAGCCATGTTTGATGCAACCAGAGGGTAACAGTTCTCCCACTGGGCTGGGCCCAGCTGGCTTAGGTTACTACCAGGGGGAGCTCGCCATCTTGGTCTACAAATGTTAGAGGTGCACCATTGAAAAATCACCCACAAACTGTGTTCTGACCATTTTGGATATTTTGGGTGATTGACTCAGTCAAAATCTCAAGACATGTCCCGAAGGCTGTTCATGGTATAGTGGTCAAGGCCGCAACAGCACAGCAACACTTCCCTGGTGCCCTCAAGCGGCGCTTATTGCCAGGCCAGAGAAATTCCGTCGCCTGAGTCGCCAGAGGGGGGGAACTGTTAGCGAGCTGCTGGTGTGTCGAATGCAGCTGGTGCTGAAATCCTTCTCTGCTGAAATATCAACAATTCATTCTTGAAATGATTTTCTGGGCAAGCCACATAATTTGCTTGTTGGAAAACCCAAGGGCACTGCAATGTCCTTTTTTGCTTGTAAGAATCTGACAGAAACTGAAACCTGCTTCGGCGCAATCACTGGGAAGCCGCGACTTACATGGCATGCATACAGAAGCCATGGACGTTCACCCAATGCATGGAATTCATGATGTCTCCATTAGTCTCACCTACTGAGAAAGGTCGAATCTCGGTCCCTTTCGGCCTGAAAATGTACGGAGAAGTTGGGGGGTGTCAGGGGGGTCGTATCAATTTCATCCCGGGGTTCTACATCTTCCAGTAGTTTACAACATCTCACAACCATTATCTGGTTGGTGGTTTGGAACATGTTTTATATTTCCATATGGGAATGTCATGATCCCAACTGACGAACTCCATCATTTTTCAGAGGGGTAGGTTGAAACCACCAACCAGTTGTAGTTGGTCCACTTCCAATTTCAGGAGTTCCACCCGAATCCATGGAATCTCTCAGGAGCGGCAAAGTTTCCTGCTCCTTGGTGTCCGTCGGAAGTGGCCAGGTGCGGATACCGCTGGACCAGGGGGTGCAGTTTCACTAAAATATCAATGGGTTGAATTGAATACCTCCCAACTGATGGGGGTTTACCTCTCATAGTTATAAAATGTTATAAACCATTATAAACCTATATAATTATATATTTATATAACTGATAATATGGTTTTATCAATATAGTTATGGTCGTAGTATCTCATAGTAACTTATTGATATTATCGAAGGAAGTTTAGAAGTCAAACTTCCGACAATATGGACAGATGGAAAAGCAGAGGTGGGAAGAGTCAGAGAAGAGAAGAGAAGAAGAGAGAAGATCAGAGAAGAGAAAGAGTCAGAAGAAAGAAGATTCAGGTGCTCGAAAAGGTAGAAAAGTCGCGATGCACTGCGTTTTTCCAATGATTTGTGGCTCCGGAGGGTCGAAAAGTAGGCTCCTTAAAGCGGCGGGTGCGGTGCCATCTGGCCAGATGAGAGATGAACAATTGCACGCCGTTGTGGCACGAAGCACATTTCGAAGTCAAAATGTACAAAGCCCAGCGGCTTCGGAGCACTTTTAGAAGTTGAGATGTCGAAAAAGTGCACGCCGTTGTGGCGCGAAGCACATTTAGATGTCAAAAGTGTTAAAAACTGACGGGGTCGGTTGAGATGTTGAAATAGTGCACGCCATTGTGGCGCGAAGCACATTTCGAAGTCAACAGTGTTAAAAACTGACGCGGTCGGTTAATATGTTCAAAAAGCGTATGCCGTTTTGGCGCGAAGCACATTTCGAAGTCAAAATGTACAAAACACACCATGTGCAGAGCAATTTTGGAAGTTGAGATGCTCAAAAAGTGTACACCGTTGTGGCGCGAAGCACATTTCAAAGTCAAAATGTACAAAACGCCACATGTTCGCGCCACTTTTGGACGTTGAAGCGTCGTTTTGGGTGGCAGGCGCAAGGGATTTTGCACCCTGCCAAAAGTGAGCAAAACGTGAGGGTTTTGTAGCATTTCCAAAAACGATGGCAGGCGTGAGACATTTGAAGAGGATCTGCAAAGATGGATTTCGCGTGGCAGGTGCAGTACAAGAGACATGCTCATTAGAGATGTTAAGAGGTCAGGCCGCTTATTTCCTGATAGGGGTTGCATTTTGGAGCATTAGATCGTCAGGTTTGCGAAGATGATTCTGCGTGACAGGTGCAGCACTTTGTATGACTTGGCATCACCTCCGACTACTACTACTACTACTACTACTACTACTATGACTACTACGACTACTACGACTACTACGACTACTACTGCTACTACTACTACTACGACTACTACTACTACTACTAGTATTACTACTACTACTACTGCTACTACTACTACTGCTACTACTACTACTACTACGACTACTACACCTACTACTACTACTACTACTACTACTACTACTGCTAGTACTGCTAGTACTGCTAGTACTACTACTACTACTACGACTACTACGACTACTACGACTACTACGACTACTACGACTACTACGACTACTACGACTACTACGACTACTACGACTACTACGACTACTACGACTACTACTACTACTACTACTACTACTGCACTACTACACTACACTACAACTACAACTACAACTACAATTACATTACTTCACACACACTACACTAGACTGACTACACTATACTACACTAGAGTACACAACACGACAGTACACTACATTACAGTACACTACGCTACATTACACGACACTACTTTACAACTACAACTACAATTACACTCATTTCACTACACTACACCTACAGCTCGACTACAACTACAACTACAACTGCACTACACCACACTACATCCAGCAGTTGTGGGTGAGGTGGCCACTGCAACCATTGCAACCACTCCAAAAAACACAACTCCAACCACCTTTCGGTCCATCAGTGGATTCGCTCTGCCATCCGTGATTCACAACAACCAACCTCTCCTATAGGTTTCCTGTTTTTGAAACTTCCGCCACTGTTTTGCGCGGTACTACTGGTAACAAGTGGTGTGTATTTATTTATATATATATATATACATAGTTATATTTATTGATGTCCCCAACTGCACCCCTCAACTAGCTGGACCCAATGCAACAAAGCATCCGCACTTTATGTCTCCCCATCTACCCGATATCCCGCTAGCATTAACCCCTGTACATCCCTATGCTAGCTACTATGTCCTGCCAATGCTGGTTTGTCTGAAACCAGGGTACCTAAAATGTGTGATGGTTTACAGTAATTTGCCCTATCATACTGCCCATTACTGTACCCCATAGATCATCTTGTTGCTTACGTACTATATACTTCTTAGATCCCAAAAATGATCCCATTACTGAATCCTCACTCTACCGCCGTGTTTGCTGCTTCCAGGCCATTTCCATGGTTTTTCCCTTGGTTTCCATTGTTTTTTCGATCTTTTTCACGGATCCTCCGGCCTCGACGTGCAGATCACACCGGTGGAGAAGCCCAATTTGGTGTCACCGGTGCTCAAGAGGTAGGGTGCACTGCTTTCAATGGGGTTGCTACACTATATCACTAATAATTATGCATATTATACATAGGATATTCATGGATATATATGGGAGCCGTCCGTAAAAGCAGGTCACAAATTTATGAATTGATGCGTTTACTTTGCTTTGCGCGATTGCTAAAACCTGCATCGCGATAGGCTGAGCGATTGGTTGGCGATTGGTTATACGGCTACCACCCTATTACTACTACTACTACTACTACTAGTACTACTACTACTAGTACTACTACTACTACTACTGCTACTACTCTTAGTACTACCACCTGAAAAGTACTGCTAGTACTACTACTACTACTACTAGTACTACTACTAGTACTACTACTAGTACTACTACTAGTACTACTACTACTATTACTACTACTACTACTGCTACTACTCTTAGTACTACTAGTACTACTACTACTACTAGTAGTACTACTACTACTACTACTACTACTAGTACGAGTACGACGACTACTACTACTACTACTTCTACTACTACTACTACTACTACTACTACTACTACTTTCGAGACCAGAACCATGCCAATAATTGACATGGCCGCGCGGATTCCGCGCGCGCGGAATCCGCGCAGATGTTTTCAGGTCAGAAGGACATTCAAGCTAGCTCCAACTGAAAACAGGTCAGAAACAGGTCAGAAACAGGTCAGAAACAGGTCAGAAACACCAAAAAGGCAGCACTTGCCTAGCATCCCATCCATCCATCCATCCATCCATCCATCCACCTCAGCTCTTATCATTGCTACTTCTACTATTACTATTACTACTATTACTACTTCAACTTCTCCTCCTCCTCCTCCTCCTACTACTACTACTACTACTACTAGTAGCACTAGTACTAGTATTTGGGGCACTGGTATAATGATATTACTTTGACGATCACTAAAATTGTTCCTAGTTTGACTGCCCGTGCTGTTTTTTTGAAGTTGAAGAAGACTCCGGGAAAGGTCAGAAACAGGTCAGAAACAGGTCAG